GTTTGAGAGACGCATAAAAGAGCTGACTTACCAGGTATGCTGAGAGCTGTGGTAACCACTAGGTCCCTGGAAAGAAATGTGTTCTCCCAAAGAGTGTCTTAAGTTGCCTCAGTACTTCAGTGAAGGATGGCATTACCCAGAGCTTTCTGATTGTAGGAAGCTTTAGGGATAAGAGGAACATCTCCCTAGGGCTACCATCATCCAGCCTGATTCATTGTAACTAGTGTTAGAAAGCCTCTCTTGCTGAGATTTGAACAGTTTCAGCACAATATTAATATGGAGCAGGCTTAGATGTCTATTCAGACTGTGAGAGAAGAAAGAGCCCAGCTGTCTCTCAGCTGTGCTGATGATGCTAAAAAGAGCCAGGAGGATTCAGTTGACTAAGGCATCATTTAGTGTAGGGTTGCCCAGTTCCAGGGCTCTGTCACCTATTGCTGAGCAGCAAGGTCCAGTCCTGAGCCCCCCGCAGCTCTGCTAACAGCTGCTGCTGCTTGCCTTTTGAAAAAGGTCTTCAGCACACAGCACTGATCCTTTTGCTTTCAAGAAGAAATTATTATCTTCTTTTTTAAGAAGATAATCCCATCCATCTGCTGTAGGAGGTTACTTAGCCTCCTACCTGTTGTTTGACTTTTGTATGCAGAGCCTAAAGGTTGTTTACTTAGAATACAGCGCGCAGGCAGAATTAGGTGGTCCTTCTGCTTATGGACTATGACAGCTTAAACCTGGCTCCTTTTACCAGAAATGCCTCCAAAACAGATGTTAAATATGCAAATAATGTATTTTTAAGCCTGCCCATAAATCTGTTTCACTAAATAGTAACACGCTTTATAATGACAAGAGTGCTCCTCACCCTTGAGTGAGGAACTCTGTGTGTATGTACGTGTATACCTCTGAAAGTGTGTGCACATATATAATTGTGTTTATATGTATCTATATTTATATGCATATAAATGGGGAGAGTACTCTCTTTTAGTCCTCAGCCTCCAGGCTTACATACATCTTCAATCAATCTATAGACATTTTTCACTTGTATACACAGGCTTGTTTGTATTTTGAACTGTATGTTTCTGAAATAATATATGTGGCACCCATACCTATTGCATTGTGGGAGGTGCTTTTTCAACTACCAACCCAATTAATGGTGTTTTGTTACAGTCAGAAGAAGATAAGAAGAATCTGGCCAGGATGCAGGATCTGATTGACAAGCTACAATTAAAAGTGAAGAGCTACAAGCACCAAGCAGAGGAAGCTGTAAGTAACTATTTGGGCCTTTTTACCTTTGAGAAATTTAATTTCTAAACCCATAATCTTTAATCCATAGAAACTTTTAGTACAAATACACATTTTTTTGTGTGTATTAATGTTTTTACTTATATTCATATAAACCTTGTATGTATACATGTATTTATAATATAAGTAAAATAATATATGTAGCATATGTGTTGATTATATATCAGAAAAAGTATTCAATTTTATCTTAAGATTGCAGTATAATTTGCAAGGGAAGGGGGGAAAGGAAGGAACAAGACTTTTTCCCTCCGTCCCTCAGAAGGCATGTTGAGAGTCTCCCAGTTCACTTAACACAGAGAGTGCCACTGGCAACATCAACCTTGTAAAACAACAGCCTCAGTTCTCCAGGAGGCGAGTGGTTCCCACAGAGCTGTTACCTACTCATGCTGAGCACTCTGCTTCCTGCTTGAAATGGAAAGCTTTTTTTCCACGTGGACGGTAGGAAATCAGCTGTGCTGTTTTCTCTCACCAGGAAGCACAAGCCAACCTGTACCTTTCGAAGTACAGAAAACAGCAACATGATCTGGATGATGCTGAAGAAAGGGCTGAAATAGCTGAATCTCAAGTTAATAAGCTGAGGAGCAAGTCAAGAGACATTGGCATGAAAAAGGTATGGCTATACCACATGGGGTAAATGTGGCTGTTTAATACACAGTAGTGGATGCAGGAAGATCTCTTACATCTCTTAAAGGAATGTGGACTAGAATAAACGGTTGTTTAGTACATATTTTTTTTTAGTTTTGGTCTACCCTTTATTTTAACATTAAGATAAGCCTTTAGCACAGCAATCTGATGCTTAGGCAAAATGAAATCTCTGTCCTCTTGGTGTTGTTGTTTAACCTCTGTGCTCAGCAGCCAGAAGTTTCCAGAACTGGTGATTTGGGGGTTTTTGCAAGTGATCTTAAAGAGTTCCATCTTTTTCTCCCTCTGATAATGTACGTAATACAGCCTGGGGATTACTTCACTAGCAGATTGCCAGATATTCTAACATTGCTCTTTCAATGAACTTCTATTGATTTGAAGAGCTGGATGAAAGGAAAATATTAGTGATTAGACACTTAAGTGCTGAGGAGTCATTAGTAATTAGAAATATATTTGTGGCATTTTGCACTTGAGCAGAATGGTAGTAGAGTAATATTGATGAAACTAAGAGGTGCCCAAGAACTTGGTGCGGAACTGAAAGAAACCTTTGGTTATCTAAGCTTGCCTCGTGGCAACCAGGGCGAGTAAGAGTGGCGTCGTTACTTGTAGGAGTGATAGAAAGAGGAACTCGGTCATTGCTTTTATCTGTTTCATTTGGAAGTGTAACACAAACTCCCATGTTTAATGTCACATAAATTTTACGGGGGATGACAGCTCCTCAGTCAAGAAAGAGAAGAGAAACTTTTCTGTGTAATTTTGGTATTTTTATCACACTTGATCCCAACACCTTCCTGCTCTTTTCTGTATCCGCCGTTCTGTGGGAGGAAACACTCCAATTTCTGCTTTTGTATTGGACCAATAAAGTCACCTTTAACTGATATAAATGACTTTAGCTCCACCACTGAGAGCAGAGCTACGTTAAAACTAAATGAAGATCTGGCCTCACATATTTATTCATGATGAAAGCAGTATTGCATCTGAAGCTCATAAGTTCTGAAGCTTTTAAGAGTAAAAAATTTCTACATATTTTTCTTTAAATTATTTCTTTAAATTATTTCTTTAAATTATTTCTTTAAATTATTTCAGACCTAGGAAAAAAACCCACTTTGTACAATTTCACAAAGCCATGGAATCACACAGACACTGAAATAGGTAAACCATAAGAGTAATTTATTTTTTTAAATAGTCTTAGGAGTGCTGTTTATTCCCTGTATCTTACTAGTGCTCTCTTTCTGTCTCAAATCTGCAAAGTTATAGAAAAGTGGATGCTTGTTTTCATTAGTCAGATTGATTTGGTGTTGGCAAACGAGCAGCTCTGGCTTGTAGCAGAGTGTTGCACTGTCAGAAGACAAGCTCAATGGTACACACAGAGGTGTCATATCCACCATCTTGTGGCAGTATTGGCAGTAGCTGCCAGCAAACATGTTCAAGCAGTGAGTGCTGTCCCAAAAGTCATGACACATCTCCTTTGGGGAGAGAAAAGCACTGGAGAGACTACTTTAATAATGTGGCATTAGAAATACCTTGTCTACCACTACTAGTACCCATGTTCCTGGAAACTCTAGGAAGCGTGCGTGATTCAGAACGAACACCACCATCTATTGAAACAGGGTTGCATAGATGTCATCTGCTATCAAAGGGATATATAGCCTAGCATGAGGAAAAGAAACCTGTATTGTTAGCTGAAGTAAGACACAAAGGTTGGCTAGATTGGTTCTAGTCTATTTCAGATACAAACTGGTAATACCAGGGAGCAGAAGCATTAGTGAAGATAAGCTTTTATCATTTACTTGTGAACTTGCTCTAAAACCCCCTCAACACTTCCAATTTTAACAGTTGTGTACTATCTATCTCAATTGTATTTCAGGTTCATGAAGAGGAATAAGTACACTCCAAGCTGACAGCTATGAGAAGATGCTTGATATAATCGGGCACAACTGAAAGCAGATGTAGAAAAGAAAAGCACTTACAGAAATAAACATCAAGTGAAAATCCAAAGAGACTGTAGTGTAGTGTATTCCATTCAATTCTTTGTATTTCTATTTTGCCAAGCCCCAGGGATCAATAAAAGATTACATCTTGCCAACAGCCGACTTCATTATGTTGGAACAAATCCTAATTGGCAGATCTCTGACAAAATCAAAACCAAGGGCAAATCCAGTCACGCCTCACAGCCTCATGACTTTCATGTGCAGACTGTTAAAGCAGCACAGATTAAACCTGTGCAGGAGGACAGCCCTTAAAGCAGAGATAACCCAGCTCCCATTTGTCCTGCTAGTCGGGGTCTGGATGAGTTTTGTAGGAAAGCACAAACTAATCTCTTTTCATATGAACAGTCAGTTTAGAAGCTTCCACTGCTACCAGCCAAAGGACTTTTGTCTGCCAGCTGCAGGACAGACATAGGAGATGCTGTGGAAGGATTTGTCCTGTCAGGACTGCCTGTGGCTCAGAAACAGAGTGTTCTCTTGGATCTTTTCCACTTTTAAACAGAAGTTTTCTTTGCTTGAAATTAAATGAAGTGCAAAACAGTAAGCCTTCTCCTTTCCTCATACTGAAAAAAAAATCCATCAAAACTAAATCTTCTTCTGTAGAAACTTTTTCATTGTCCGTTTAGGATGTTCAAGTTCCAATTTTTCATGCCGACTCCTCGCATACAGGTGTCAACTGACATATTTTTTTCTGTCAGTTCAGTTGTTTGTTACTGTTGCTTGGATAATCACATCTCATTGGCATCCATCTGTGCAGAGAGGGATTTTCTTCTCTGTCCTGGTTTTGGCTAGGGTAGAGTTAACTTTCACAATGAGCTGATATGGGACACAGCAAGGACACGTGATCCAAACTAGCCAAAGGGGTATTCCATACCATATGATGTCATGCTCAGCGCAAAACAGGGCTAGTCGGGGAGGGGCGGCGCAGTTTGTCTTGTGTTATCAATCCTTGTGTCTATTCCAAGTACTGTCGTCGTTACTTCCCTCTCCCTTTTACCTTTGTCTTCCCATTCTCCTACCCATTCCTCTGGGGGGAGGGGGAAAACTCCTCCTCTGGGGGAGTGAGTGGCCTCTTGGTGCTCAGCTGCTGTCTGGAGTTAAACCATGACATTCTGGTATGTCAGGATGCTCATCATTTCTCTTCTTCTGCATTGCCATTAGAACAAAAATGTGTAAAAATTAAACCTCTAGTGGGAACAGAACAAGACACACTCACTATGAAGATAAACCAGCATTTTCCATTTTAACATCAGCTGAGTAGAATAAGCATCCACATGCAGAAACATTCCTGTTTCTTCCATCTAGTCCTCCATCGAAGTAACCGGAGCTGAGTTAACCTGTAAACTGTTCCACTTCCTCTGATTATGGTATGTTAAAGGTCTCAACAGGTCCCAAGATAAATGAATCTTGCTTAAAAAGTTAAACAGCTGCATCTCAAAAGTATGTTATCATCTCTAAAGCATGTTAGCATTAAAATTGACTAATAAGCAGCATGCAAGTGAATCTCTTAAGTGAGAGAAAAATGAAAAAAGATAGAGACTCAGTCATTTTACAGTTGCCTTTCTGGTGTGTTCTTGTTGAACCTCATGGCAACCATTGCAAAATGTCTCCTGAACCTTACCAAATTTAGGCTGTGGCAAAATCTTAAGGCCCAGGGAGTTCAAAGGTATATCTCTCCATGGATAGGGCTGTACTGTCAGACACAAAGATGTACCCTAAGGACTAAGAGCTAAAGTTCCTTTTTTAAGGATACTCACCACAAATGCAAAAGAAGGAGACAGAATACTCTAAGACAGAGCCGGTATATTACAAATGCACAAGAACGAAATGCATCCACTTAAAGATGCCATACTCTACTAAACAGGAGAGCTGTATAGAGAAATGAGATCAGGGACCGTACAGTTATAAAAGTCTCCTAAACAAAGCAATTAGTATAACTTCACACTGAAGTTTTGGTGAGCTTGGACACTGGTTATATTTGAAATAGTAATCTGGGACCTAGATGTACTAAAGAGGGCCTTCTTGAGATAGAAAATAACAAGAATGAGGACAATTTATGGTGAAACTTCTCCTACATTTTCAATCTTTTTTTATGGTCTAACCCATGAAAATCAAAATTATGTTTTGGGCAAACATTCAAGGTCTGGCTTTAAGCTTAACAGTACCTTTAAAAATAAATCCCCTAAAGATTGTACATACCTTGATACAGACAGAGATGACCGCTACTGCTACTGCTACTGCTGCTATCGCCAACAGTACAATGATCACTTTTAGCACAATCTTCGAGGTGTTGCCTGAATTTTCTTTAAAAATACAAATTCCAAAGAGTTTAACAGAAGTGCTTTATATTGCAAATTAACGTTCACTATTGTTCAATACATATATATCAGAGCTATGATTTTTCGCTTATAAGCTAAAAGCTGTGATTTAGGGAGAATGTCTCAGTTTCCTTTTAATATTACTAATACAACAATGTTCAAGTTATTTGACCCATACTATAAGACTTCAAAGTCATACTTTAAGGAATTAAGTGTGAATAGCTGAAAGCAGATTATTTTACTTAACTGTGCTGATATAAAATTCTATGTGTTCTCATGTAATATGATTTGATGACTTCTTAATACAAACGCCATTTAAAAATGCTCAACTGCCCAGTATGGTAAACACCGCCTCCAGGTACAGTGCTTGGTGCCATTAACGGTACTGCTGATTTCCAGTAGAACAACTCAGTAAGCGTTATCCAGCCTGGACCATAGATTTCACTATTTCTGTTGCTAAATCTTTGCAACTTTCTCTAAACTTCACGATGCAACCATGCAGTCCAGGTGGGCACAAGAAGCAGCAGATGCTGAGGTGGGTGGTAACAACGGATTCCACAGGAGATAATAGCCCATCTAACAGAAATCTCTGCACAGCAGCAAGCGTCTTATTACTCCAGCCAATTTCAATGTGACAACACTCAGACCAGGAGGACTCATTCCTTTAAGTATGGTTCTTCTACTTCAGGCTTCCTTTCCACTGCCGCACCTCATCCAAAGAATCTGAAAAATTCTACACTCCTCTGGACACTCTCTGTGGATGTTTGGCAAATAGTTCAAAAAAGAGAACTGCCAAAACAGAACATTTAATCTAGTCATCGCCTTTAGCTTGGCTCTGTCTCTACATGCAGACTTACGTTTACATCTTGCCAGTTGGTCTGACAGAGCAGCTTTAAGCTGCGGCCTTTCTTTACACAGGATAAGGCCTCTGAAATGACTGCAAATTCATCTCACTTTTCCCCTTAAAAGTCTCCTTTTCAGTTGCCCATGGAAATCTTTCTGATGGTTGAGCAGCTGCTTTGCTATGACCACTATCCAACATACTGATCTAGCTCATTTCCTTATGCCCTACTGTATCTACCTGCTTATCTGCTTTCAGTCTGTGCTGCCGCAAGGATGCTAATCTCTCTGGTAAGTATCTTCTCTGTATTTCTGTTCCACCTGTAGGAAAATTCTGTGAGCAGCACAGTAATTTAGCCACTGAAGAGGGGATTTGTGTCACCTATGGCTATTGTAAGATCCATCTACAGAAAGCAGCTAGAGAAAGGCATTTGTAGAGGATGATCCAGATCGTATCTGCACTGGACAGGTGCACGTGTCTGTCTCCAGTAAATGTACAGGGAGACTGATGGACTTGTGCACATAGGTTAGGAGCACCACTTAAGTGTGTAACTCCTTGAAGGCGTTCAATGATCTCAATGCAGAGGAACAACATTGGGTTTATATGATAAGGAAGATCATGCTGGAATTTGAGCTGCAAGGAAGTTTGTTTGACTGACTTAACTGTTTAATCTAACTCCCCTCCTTCAGGTTGCATATAGCCACTGCCGTTTAAAACACACCCAACATCAAGTTTTCAGACTGAAACTAAGTTATCATGGAGGAGGGGGAAGAAAGGAAGAAAAAATATATAATTACTTGTTCTAGCCCCTTTTCTACTAAGTTGCCTCTATTTTTCATGTCCTATTGGCTTGTTTCAAGTTGTTTTCTTTCTTTAAAAAAAACAAAACAAAAACCACCAACTGAGGTGCCCTATATTAATTTTCAGCCTTTTAGGTGACTGCATTTAATTGCATAAAAGGCCTATGTGCTACTGTTTGAATGGGTGTTTTTTTTCTCCTCCCTTTGGACTGAGATTTAAGGAAGCTGCAGCCCAAACAGCATACTGTTTTTGAACAAATCTATAATTTGTTTGCACTATAATTTTAGAAAGCTGGACTAAATTTTTTTTAACCTTTGGTAAGAGTTTTCAATAGATAGAAAAGTTAATCAGTAAGTCTCCTTGAAACTGGAGACAATGAAATAACTGTAACTAAGACGTCACAGCTGGAAATTTACTACAGTTCATAAAAACACAGGCATTCATACAAACATATATATCCCCAGGTCTAAAAATGGCCTGCTGTGTAGAATTAAAGCTTTGAAAATAACAACTGTGTGTACTCCTCAGCAAGGTTTCTTCTGCAGGCAAATTTATACTACATCTTTGGGCTTCCCTTCATCTGCCTGCTCCCTTAAAAGACCGTATTTGCTATCAGCAGAGCATTTAGGACATGATTATGAGAATTTCCCTGTGCCCTCAGCTCCAAGGGCAGCCACTAATTTTGAGACCTTTGCCACACGAGCTGCTGATTGAAAAAAAGAAGCTTCAAGTCTTTAAATAAATACATCTTAGGTAATGTGGTGGGGGTTTTTTGGTTTTGGGTTTTTTTTTCCCTGGGACAACAGTAATAAAATATCTCTTTTACTCACCTGTACTAATTACACAAGATGATTTTTCTTAACATTTTACAGATTTCTGATTGACCCCTTTGCCTCTGCATTCCCCTCACTGGTCCCCATCC